TTATTTTTAGTAGAAGGGGCTTTCGCCCCCCCCCCCCACCTTCTTACTCTTAGTCAAAAATATATTTATTATTTTGAATCCTCAGTATTATTTATGTTAAAGCCTTTAAAAAGGTCGGGGGGAAACGATAATTAAGCTATCTTTGAAATAAAGTTTAAACATTGAAAACTACACAAAGGAATTAAACAAACCGTCCCCCCCCCCAATCAGTTATATTCAGTGGAATTTAACTGATTGGCTAAATAAGAATGGAATTATGCAAGAGCTGGTCCAGGGTCCATTGTCTGCTAGAACTCCAATGTACTGCATAACATCCCACCCAGAAAATTACATCGAAACTCGTCTATGATCCATCCATTTTATTATATATCCGTGGATTGGACAAAGGTTCTTAAGAATTGTGGACATTTGATTTTTTATAACATTTCTAAAAGGTAAATTAAGAAAACAATACATGCAGGATTTAATAAATTTTGAGTATTCCATCTGTAGGTAAGTTCAAGTTTTTTCCGTTTCCGTATACATTTTCTTGTGCATCCGCCGTTATCTAAACTTTTTAAAATAATGTACTTTTCATGGTATATTCTGTGCAATTTGTAAGTCAAATTTAAACCATCCCTATTTTTTGTTTAAAAATTAAAACATTAATTTGAAAATCTATTTTTAATAAAACATACCTGTTGTAGCTTCCAGACTTGAAACATCTACAAGCGGAGTATCCAGGACTAAACTAGCGGTACAAGCGGTAACATAATCCTTGAGCGGAATCCCGGCGTCAATAAGCGCCAGCGTTGCCGCGTTCACGCACGCACAGTAGTTTCCTCCGTCGGCTTGAAGAACCTCGACGAAAATATCGATCTGTGAGCGGGGATACAACTCAGTTTTGATCGTAGCTTCAAAAGTTTGTTTTAAATGCTGTGACATCTCGGTTGATTTCCGGTCTCCACGTGGTCGCCTTTTCCTTTCTCCTGTGCTGAAAACAAAACGGCATCTTGAATAAAGGTGAAATGTGGGACATCATAGGTGTTGAAATGTGGGAAATCATAGTTGTTGAAATGTTGGAAACAGTACTTGTTGAAACGTAGGAAATCATTGCTGTTGAAATGTGGGAAACTGTAGTCGTTGAAATGTGGGAAATCATAGGTGTTGAAATGTGGGAAATCATAGTTGTTGAAATGTTGGAAACAGTACTTGTTGAAACGTAGGAAATCATAGCTGTTGAAATGTGGGAAACTGTAGTCGTTGAAATGTGGGAAATCATAGTTGATGAAATGAGGGAAATCATAGTTGTTGAAATGTGGGAAATCATAGTTGTTGAAATGTGGGAAATCAAAGTTGTTAAAGTGTGGGAAACTTTAGTCGTTGAAATGTGGGAAATTGTAGTTGTTGAAATGTGGGAAATTATAATAGTTGAAAGTTGGAAACGGTTATCAAATCTTCAGGAGCCCTATCCATTTCACACTATTCACACTATTTTACCATTTACGGTGTGAAAATATTAAAAATATTTTCAACTGTTCTATACCTTAATGTAAACACTTGGAAAAAATTTATATTTAATGTAAAATAAAAAATTAAACAAGTTTGTAAGTTTAATGTTTAAATATAAAAATTAGATTAACACCGGCTCCCCTGAGGAATTGCAAAGTGGCTAAATTTTAAATTAAATAATCAAATTTGTTCTCACTCCAAGTACTACACAAGTATTTTCTGTATGTGAGTTATATTCTTAATAAACCGTGCATCAAAACATTTTCTTTACTTAGTTTAAAGCATCAACTACGATATTCAAACACCAAAAGCCAAAAAGAAGTTGAATTGTTATGACTCAAATAATATTTTTCGAAAAAACTTGAAAAAGTGCAATTTAACAGTTCCCTTTAAAATTACCCTTGATCACGAATAAAAGATATCCATGTTATCTCTTTAAAAATTGATTATTTTCATTTGTGATTTCTCTTTTACTAGGCTTTTAGGGCGCTTCACGCCCATCTTCTATTTCAACTTTTAATTGTGGCTTTATCTCTGAACATCTTCTCTTTGTTCAGTATAAAACAAAAACAAAAAAAAGTTTGTGAATTTCATAATATTTTTTTTGCGCATTTTCAAAATTTTTCAAAAATAAAAATCTTTTAAACACAAATTTTTAAAATTTTGATCATTCATAAACCTTCGTGAGGTCCCACAAAAAATTTGGGCCCGATCGGTTCAGCCGTTTTGACGTTTATTGGATACAAACAACAGACAGACAAGCCAAATTTATATATAGATAGAAACTTGCAGAAGGCAGGTTTATGCTACAGTGCCAATGGAGAAAACTGTTATTATTGAAAAAAACGACAATATCTTCCAAATTATTGATTATTAATTTATTTTTGTAAACCTAATATCCTATTATCCTAAATTATTTTAAATTATTTGAACTATCCTATATCTGATTTACAAATTAAATTCTCAAATAACATTGACTCCGCCTATTTTCCAAAAATAAACTACTTTTATTATTTTCATATTTTATCATTTCTGTTCGGTTTCATAGTAGTAACCCTATCGTGTAAGAATTCCCATTACTACACGGTTCAGGAGGAACAATTTCAATATTGTTCGCTTCCTAGCGTTTCGGAAATATGAAAATCTTATGAGGAAAAAAAATGTAATAATGGAAATTCTTAAACGAGATGAAATAATCATGATGTATTCTTTAACGAAGGCCGAAGGGTGCCGTTGTGAAGTCTACTTTTCTGTCACTCCTTCTNTCTAGATGAATACCAATCAATCAATCAATCAATCAATCAATCAATCGATCAACTAACCTGAAAACTGCTGTACTGTACTGGCAGTTGACGACGACCTTATCCTGCAGTGGGCGAAGCCGCGTGTCTCTCATATCATGAGGGCCGTACACTGCAGCTAGAACCTTAATAAATTGGTCTTCTATTAACATTTCTTTTGTCGATAGGGTGTGTTATCTGGTGTGTTCTTTTTTATCAATTGCAAGTTAACATAATCTTGAATATTTTTTTCTTATGCGACAATATTAGAGGTTTTAATTAAAGTATGCCATGATGGAATACCTTTGTGTTTCCTTGTTCTAGATACGCACTCCCATCAGCCTGTTTAAAGACACCCATCCGTGTCTGTATTCGTCTCAGCTCACCGGCCTTCCGACCATCCAACCTAACATGGATAATGATAAAATCGTCTTTCTCGTTGATTTGAAAATGCGGGAAGGCATAAATCTGCGAATCTTCGTAATTCCAGGTCTTATTTGAAGTAAATATGTACTCCTTGACCTTATTTTATAATTAATGGCATTTTTAAGTGACCCTCAATTATAAAAAAGAGGAGCAAGCCTGATTCACAAAGTTACCCTCTAAGAACCTATTAAACTTATTCATGATATTTTTTGTTTGTAACAATAGCACATTTACCCACTAAAATTAGCTATAGTTCAAAAAATTCAGATCAAACAACATTTTAGTGTAGATAGCGTTTGCGGCATTGCGTTATTTACGAAACTTACCCGTATGTCTTCCGACCCGCATTTGAATTAATAAGATTTATAGATGATACAGAGCGTGCCATATCAAATTAACAAAGAAAAAATAATTGCTTGAATAAAATCTCGCATTTTGGTGTGCGATTCAGTTAAAGAATATGTTTAATGTAAAAACGGGTTTATTTATTTATTTATTCAAATATTTTAAAATTATAAAATTTCAATTAAAACCAATCGTGCCTGACTGACGCATCCTAAAAGAAATGAAAACAATTTTCAGACTTAAAATAATTGTCTTTACAAATTAAGACATTTTGCCGGAAGATCAACGGGTGAGGGTCGGACGTCATAGGGGTAAGCGCATGTCGCAGACCCTGTGACGTCATCTGCGGGTCAGATGTCAAACGGGTGCGGGTTGCCCCTCCCCCCTCGGACTGAAAGCGTAATTTCAAGTGACCCTAGCTAGATGCAAAGATTACAATGACAGATTCAAACCAATAAACTTGAAATATTTCTATGATCAATATTCTAGGGTAGTTTAATTCTAATAATTCCTATAGGACTTTCTGCAGTAAAAATACGCAAGCCACTTTTGTAACAGAAACCAGAATTGAATATTATACAATTTCAAGAATACTAACAAGGATATCTATTTCATTCTTGTTCAGACAAAGCTTTCAAGGTACCCTTGTCAACTGCAATATTTGCATGAAGACAGGAAACTATTCAATAAAAAATCACCTCAACCCCTGGTCCGATAACAACTCATATCCTGACATAACTTAGTCTGAAAAATGGAAAAATTTGGGTTTCAAGAAATCACGGATTAGCAAATTTCTTTTTGAAATTTTTGGTTGAATGCTCAGCATCCCGTTCCTGCTGCATTTGCCGCTTAGTTTGTTCCAATGCTGCGTTGAAGGCAGACTGACCCGCTTCTAACTCTTCCTCGGTCACCTTAACAATACAGGGGTATATTCTTGTTCAAAAATAAATCTTTTAATTTTTAAGAAAATTCATCAGTTTATGGAGAAGAAAAAAAATTCATTTTTTGTAAAAAGAATCCAAACGGCGGAAAACAGTTGTCTTTTTTTTTCTCTTTCCTAAATCTATATGTAAATTAAGCTTGTCTGTTTGTTTGTATCCAATAAACGCCAAAACGGCTGAACCGATCGGGCCCAAATTTTTTGTGGGACCTCGCGTTTATGAATGATCAAAATTTCATTAATTTGTGTTTAAAAGTTTTTTTATTTGTGTAAAATTTTGAAAATGCGCGAAAAAATATAATAAATCCGCAAACTTTTTTTTTATACTGTACAAAGAGAAGATGCTCACAGATAAAGCCACAATTCAAAGTTGAAAAAGAAGATGCCTAGTTTTTTAAAATTGAAATTCCTTAAAGGGACTGTTAGCGCAATTTCAAGTAACTCTTCATGCAAAGATGGTAATGTCCGATTGACAACGGTAAAGTATGAACTAGAAAACTGATTTTTTCCCATTGTGGGTTTTCTGCAAAAGTTACTTGCGCATTTCTACTGCAAGAGAACATTAAGATATTATCAGCTATGAGCACTTTTCAAACTAGAAAAACAACAGTATCTTCCACATTATTAATCAGATAATGGTTTCAAGGGTGTATCGTTATAAATAGGGCATTGTCGTGTTTGCACACAGGGTCACTTGAAATTACCCTTCAATAAAACGGTTGTCGATTTTTCTCGAAAATCAAAATATAAATAACAAAAAACATTAAATAAAAAATGCCTTGAATCTATTTTTCTGAATATTAAAAATAAAAATAAATGAATACCTCGTATTCCTCAATGTTTGCTATACCACCGTCCAGGGTCATCTTTTTAAAGTTTTTTCTCTAAATCAAAAAACTTAATGAAATTGAGCATTTAATAAATAAATTAATCTAATTTAAAACATGATCAATAAATAAAATCGTCAATTACTCAAAAGATCCCGAGGTCAGATTCAATGATAAGTGAGAGGCTAGTTTAAGTTCTTCTACAAGAACTCTAAAATCGGAAGTTTTGATAAATGTACTTCAATAAACCAATCAATCAATCAACCCGTCAATTTTCCCCCTCAATCAATCAATCTCTTTATCAAACAATTCTCCAGATCTCTCAAACAATCATCAACCCGGCAATGAATGAATGCATGAATAAATGAATCAATCAAATTGTCTATACCTGGGTAGGTTCTAGAAGTGTAAGTGCTACTCCTGACCTGCCTGCTCGCCCTGTTCTACCAACCCTAAAATCATAAACAATAAAATGGAGTTTTATACTACGTTGAAAAATCATAAAATACNCCTTCAAAAATGTTATGGACTTCTTATTACCTATTTGATATTATTCACGAAAAAAGCTTATTTTGAGTTTTCAAAAATACATTTTCCTCATGATATTAAAAAAAGCAATAAATAGGACCTGTGAATGTAAGCTTTAATGAATTGAGGACAATCGTATGAAATGACACCATCCAAGTTCTCTACATCAATTCCTCGTGCTAAAACAATAAGAACATCTTTAAATTCTAACAATATTAAAAAAACTAGGCTTTTAGGGCGCTTCGCGCCCATCTTCTATTTCAACTTTTAATTGTGGCTTTATCTCTGAACATCTTCTCTATAAAATAAAAACAAAAAAGTTTGCGGATTTCATAATATTTTTTTGCGCATTTTCAAAATTTTTCAAAAATAAAAAACTTTTTAACACAAATTTTTAAAATTTTGATCATTCATAAACCTTCCCTGGGGTCACGTAAGGTCCCATAAAAAATTTGGGCCCGATCTGTTCAGCCGTTTTGACGTTTATTGGATACAAACAAACAAACAGACACTCAGACAGACAAGCCAAATTTATATATAGATACTAGATTGTTTTAACTGAAGTTTCCTCATTTGTCGTGATAACCAGAAAACTCTGAAATAGGGAGACGAATTCTAGAATTAAATTTAAAACTTTAAAAAGTCCAATGAGTATAAGACACAACAATTGTGCAATGTTAACAAACACATTTCACTAAATTAGTGATTTGATAAGTGTCTAGTTAAACTATTTGCTATGTAACAACATAAAATATGTCTATAATGTCGTCTTCCTATTCCTGTTATCTAGTTATCACTAAAGTTAAACTAAATGGTTACTCACAAAGAAAGATACTTTAAAGACAAACCTGAAACTCATTAAATGTGATGATTTTACGAATGAATGAAGTCTTCTGGTTTCAATATACTCGTTAAATGGTTTATTCAATAATTTGACAATGAGTGAAACTATTGCAGAGAACAATTTAAGTGTCGTACAGTCGTTTGTTAAGTCTAAAGTTTTTGTGGGTAACCATGTATTTGTCTTTTTTAGCATGGTAATTTCTTATTAAATAATAAATACTCCCTTGATAAAATTATTAAATATTTAATTAAATTTTAGAGAACTAAATTCTTGACAATGCAGTCCTCTTTGACAGTTTAAAAAATACAAGCCGTTTAAAATGTTTTGAAAAATCTTGTTCAGGTAGAATTTATTTACCCCCCCCCCCCAAAAAAAAAAATCTTTACTTAGAATTTAAAACCACGACACGATTTAACCTTCAAAAATGCAAAATAAACACCAGCATGATTCTGCGGGAGCCGGATTGCAGTTGAGAATGCATATGATGACGTGAAAAATTTCACAAGGAAATTAAAATATGACTCTTAAATTTACCCCGACAGTTTCAAAGGAGAAGGATAATGAATGAATTTCATTTTTTGGATTACGCCTCTCGTCTTTCATCAGTTATATGTTCAAGTTTAAAAACGTGACAAAAGAATAACGTAGCAAAATGGGAAAGTAATAAGATTTAAATTAGCACCAAAAAGATAAAACCAAACTAAATATATTAGTATCTCAAAATATAAGATAATAAAGCAAAAAGTATAAAAACTCTCTGAAAAGATGGAATCGGAAAAAACACCCAGGTATATTTGATACTTCTTTCCCCAAGTATTTACTTTCTAGATCGTCTTCCCCAAAATTAGCAATAAAATCAGCCGGCGGGATGAAAATTCAAAAACAGCTTTTAATTTCAAAAATAATTATTCACCTAAGGCATCGGAGCAGACCAGTATTCTTATAGTTCCATTTTTCAGTTTAGATAAAACCTTCTTCCTTTTCATCTTTATATCACTAGATAACTCAGCACAGCTGAACCCTAGATTACTCAGTACTAGAGCTAACCTAAATACAATATATATCTTTATATCACTGGATAGCACAGCTGAACCCTAGGTTACTCAGTACTAGAGTTAACCTAAATACAATAGATATCTTTATATCTCTGGATAGCACAGCTGAACCCTAGGTTACCCAGTACTAGAGCTAACCTAAATACAATAATATATCTTTATATCACTGGATAGCACAGCTGAACCCTAGGTTACTAGGTTACTCAGTACTAGAGCTAACCTAAATACAATAGATATCTTTATATCTCTGGATAGCACAGCTGAACCCTAGGTTACCCAGTACTAGAGCTAACCTAAATACAATATATATCTTTAAATCACCAGATAGCACACCTGAACCCTAGGTTACTCAGTACTAGAGTTAACCTAAATACAATATATATCTTTATATCACTGGATAGCACAGCTGAGCCCTAGGTTGAAATTTCCTAGGTTGTAATTTTCTGTGAACCTTCATTTAGAGAGAAAGAATGCCCGATTCACAACGGTACCTTTATCTGATCAATAATTGAAAATTATTAGTTTTCAAACCTTAAAACCTATACAATTCATACTTGATCAGACGAATATTCAAGGAAGTACCGTTTTAAATCAGACATGCCTTTCTATAAATAGAAGCTTACTAAATACAGTCCCTTTAACTCTGGTTCAGATTAAATAAAAGATCGGTAACGCCGCGAGAAAAATCAAGAGTTTTACTTAATCTCTACTTTAAATAAGTGCACACAGGTTCTTACCGTGCATCCATAAAACTGTGGAACAGAATAGCTATTATATCATATCTGTTCGGTTCCATAGTAGTAAACCTATCGTGTAAGAATTCCCACTATTAAACGGTTCAGGAGGAACAATTTTAATATTGTTCGCTTCCTTGCATTTAAGAATGCTTATTCTTACACTGTAGGTGTAGAATTTTCATTCTTTAACGCTCAGACCGTGTAAGAATGGAAATTATTACACGGTCAGAGCGTGAAAAAATGGAAATTCTTACACTTCGTTGAAGAATACATCAAGATTATTTCATCTCGTTTAAGAATTTCCATTATTACATTTTTTTCCTCATAAGATTATCATATTATTTAAAATAGCCCAATGAACATGAAAAACTGCCAGATACACGGTGTACACGGACCCAAGTAACAGAATAAGCTATTTGTTATGCCACCAGCCACAAGTAAAAATATTTGCTTTATAAAAATATGAAATGCACGTATGATTGGAATGCATTACTCTCAGCTTCCTATTCTACAGTTTTCGGGTCTCACTATTTTTCCCTATTTACCTGTGAGTGGATTCATTAGACTTGGTGAAGACGAGGACGGATTTAAGTTCAAGTTTCTCCACGAGTAAACTGACCACCAAAGGTTTCCGTCCCAGATCCGTCCTGACGGTGAACTGTTTCAACTCTGCGGGGATTGAGAACTCGGTGATCTCGTCCGCGTCCGTATTCACCTTTCCACTCAGGGTCTTCGCGGGGACCACGCATCTAATAGTTATTATAATTATGATAACAATTATAATAGTAATAATAATATTATAACAATAATAATAATAATAATAATAATGATGAAAATAATAATAACAATAATAATAATAAAAAAGTTGATAATACTTATGATGTATAATGATTTATAATAGTTCTTATGAAGATAAAACTAATGTGATGATGATAAAAATAACGATTCATGATGACTGTGTTATTGCTACAAACTCTTATTTTCTTATTCCTATCTCTTAGCGATTCAATGTCGTAGATCTTTGATCTTACAAACTATGCACTCTGGTCGATCAAATATTAATAATCTAATTATGAAATATCAAAGGTTTAAACCATCGGGTGGCAAAAATATAGGGATTAGAAAATTTGAGTTTGTGGCAAAATCTCAGGTCCTTTAGTGTTAGGAGGGGGTTGTAGGAGAGAGAAGGATAGACAACCCTGATTTGTTTAGATTTTAATAGATAGGATCCTGACTCAGGGTTGCGGAGAACAGAAGCTTCTGCAGAGGTAAACTCTGTTGTCTGAGTTAAACACAAATTCTCAATCAATCAATCAATCAATCAATCAATCAACCAACCAACCAACCAACGAATCAATCAACCAATCAACAAACAAGTTATTAAAGAATTAGAAAGCTAACAACCCTCCATTTCATCAAATTAAGATGGAATTAGAGAAACATTATAATTTAATCTCATTATATAATCACAACCAAAAATTCTTTTCAAACTTTAAATTACAAATAATACAATAAAAATGATGAGATTTAGTTTCCTTGCATTTACAACATTCAAAGGTCCAGGCCGTAATCGTTTCCCTCTAAAATAAATCCAGCTTAGGACGTGATAAAAGAGAAATTTATTTTATTTTTGAATTTCATCAAAAACTAAATTAGATTACTGTGTAGAGCTGTTAAAAAATATTAAATCTTAAATATAAAACGTTCTGAGAATAAAAATGGCGTCTGTAGATGATTTTCCTGTAAACAGCTGATTCCAGAACATTCAGCCAATCATCCGCCATATTGGACATCATTCTATCCGCCTCGTCTATCACTAGGTATCTAAAAACAGAAAATATATTTAAAGGGATTTTAGACGTAGTTTTAAATGACACTTCATTTGTAAAGATGCAAGACGATTCACAACGGTACCCAACAAATATTTACCTGATTAAATGTTCAAAGATTAACGCTTTCAACGGGACAATTTATAAATGGAGAGTTTTTAAAACGATGGCAATGTCTCCATGCTTCATTCAGTGAGGATTTATAAATAAGATTCACAGAAATTTGTGAAATCCACGAAAATTCAACCAAAAAATCCGTTAATTTCTAACCTGAGCGCAGTTAGGTCTAGCTGTGGGGTATCTCGGATATGATGCGCCAGTCTACCGGGAGTGACAACAAGGATATCAACTTGCTGGTGGAGTAAACCCGTGCTACCGACTCTTAATAAAAGAATAAAATAGTCAACAGGTAGAAAACAAATGTTAAGATCAATCAATCTACCAATCTATCAATCTACCAATCTACCAATCTACCAATCTACCAATCTACCAATCTACCAATCTATCAATCTATCAATCTATCAATCTATCAATCTATCAATCTATCAATCTATCAATCTATCAATCTATCAATCTATCAATCTACCAATCTACCAATCTACCAATCTACCAATCTACCAATCTATCAATCTATCAATCTATCAATCTATCTATCAATCAATCAATCAATCAATCAATCTACCTGTAAAGACTCTGCTGCTCCTGTGATAACGACTGCTGACCAGTCAGCAGCTTTACACGTAATCCTAAAAAAAAAACATTTGACTATTTTATATAATATTTTTTTTCAAACGTACATTTTCAAAGTTTTAACGGGTTTGGGGAAAAGTTACAAAAAAGTTAAGATTGGATAAAGGCAATGCGACTTATTAAGTTTTACTGCATCATTTTAAAGGCATCAAGAGACTGAACCAGGGATAAGTCTTCAAGAACAACTGTTTAAAGACTTTTATTAATTTATCCCAAAAACTGTTTTTATTCCAGGCAAGTGTCATTTCATCAACCATAATAAAAGTTTATAACAAAATGGGAAAATTTGTAACTATTACCGGAATTACAAGTTAGTCTCCATGTATAGAGTGGAATGTCTGATTTATAACGGAACCCTTTACACCTTCTTAATTAAAAATTAATGAGATATCCTTATATTTCGAGACACAATGAAGAAAATCAAGAGAATACTGCACTTTTCTAAATAGATAGCGTATAATGCTTATTAATATTCAGAAAGAGGTTTAAAAATGGTACCTTCGAGAATCAGATATCCCACTCTTACAATGGAGGAGTCATTAGAGTATTTTAAGTATGGGGGGGGGGGGTAAATTTATCTCTTTACCTGTTCCCTCACAGAAAATGTTGAACACCTTGAAAACTTGAAGAGCCAAATCCTTTAAAAATTATATTTAATAAAAATTCACATTTTTTTTAACTTGATATTTAACATTTCTGTTTTTTATCCTAAAATTTCTGAGTTTCAGATTCTCAACAATATTCACTTGTATTGTTATTCAACCAATCAATCAATAAATCAATCAATCAATCAATCAGAATGTTACAGATGTCCTAGTCCTACTAACCATATATCAAACTCAAGATGAAATTACTAAATCAAGAGTGAACGATGGTCTTAAAGCTTGTGTTTAGGTTTTGAATAAAATAAAAATGAAAGAATCAATCATAATCAAAGAAAACAAATTAAATTGTCTGTATGGGGAGGGGGCGGGGGGTTGGAAATAAATTTCTTAAAGGTAAAAATGTTAAAAAGAGAAAAACATGTTTTGATGATTTTAGTTTCAATAATTTTCAAAACAAATCTGCTACTGACGCCTTCGAATTTTCAAATAGTTAGGTTTCAATAAATACTCCTCAAAACAGAAATTGCAAAAACTTATCTATTTAATAAAGCTCTTCGCTCATGTATGTCATTGTATGTATATTTTTATAAATAAAAAAAAACATATATCTAAGCTAAAGCTATCAAACGGCTGCTAGACCAAATTGGCTGAAATTTTTTGAGGGAATCCATGGGCAGGGTAACATAGCGGAAAATTCGAAATATTTTTTTTCATAATTTTAATTTTTTTATACCGATTTTTTTCTTTCTTTCTATATTAAATTTTGAATTCCACGAAAAAAGCGCCGGGCACTTCAGAAAGTATTAAATGTTAAAGTTGGAAATAACCCTGCGACAATTGAAAACTTTACCAACTTTACTTTCATCGCTATTACACAAAGGGAGGTAGATTTTTCAATTTTGTCAATAGTGCGCCTCAGATGAAAAAGATGAAAATAAAACCATTTAAAAAAAAAATGGGGTGGGAGATCATTTTTCGATAAAATATGCACCCCTGGGGTGGGGAAAGGGAGTAAACGGGTGGTTGAATATATCTGCTTTACTACCTGTGTCGGCAGAACTACGAGAGCTCGAACTTTAGGAACCATCCTGCACAACAATACTCATTTAAATGGACTGTTCATTTAATTATAAGTGTTCCTCCATTTTCATGCAGGATTCCCAACGGAACCCCTCAAACTGTTGCCAGCGCAAATTCGAGATAATTTTCATTTATATACAAAAGTAACTTGTGGATTTATGCAGCAGTGACATTGACAAGGAAGAAAATGGAAATATTTGTTCACATTGTCGAAAATTGTCTCTTAAAATAGAGGGTCACTTAAAATCAAATCGACGACAGCCCCTTCCATTTTTATAAATTTTTAATTTTTCTATGTTAGTCAATGTTTTTAATTTGTTTTTTATTTTAAAAAATTTAAATTTTTGTTGTTAAAATATTACCTGGATTTAAGTGAATGAATGATTGGAAGAACAAATGCTAGAGTTTTGCCAGAACCTGTTGGGGCCGACACACAAACATCATTCGGTCTAAATAGTCAACTTTTAGTAAAAAAAAAAACCAAATAATTCGGTATTTCTAGGATTACCCCCGAAGGATTAGACTGTTAAGACAACTTTAAACTTTAACGATTTGACGGTCCCAAGGTTAAGCTAAGTTTTCTGGCTTGGATAAAGTCTCGAAACGGCTGATTAAATTATTTGGCAAAGAAAGACACACTTTCACAGTTGCGGGGAATCATGGATAAAAGGAAACAGACAGTATAAATTTCGAACAGTTGTCTCTGAAGTCTCATCCCTTTTGCGCAACCCTGTATAGTCAAACTTATTAATTAAAAATACAAGATATTTGTTCAAAAGAAAACAAAATTTTGGTACAAAATGAATTATTCATCGATAGATTTAAGGAAAACAAAAATAGAACGGTTTCTGCAAATAAAATAATACACAAAATTATGATTTTAAGTCATATTACATCAAATGTCGGTCAAAATAAGGCATTTTTCTGTAACAATAAGTTAAAATGACGTCAAAATTTGACTTTTCCTTGAAGAATTTTCTTAAATTTTAGGGAATACACAATGACATAAAAATTGGCTCTTATTTCGCTTTCTGTCATTTTATGCTGTTGATCATAAAGATCCAAGGATGTGGATTATTTATAACATGAAATTACGTTTTTTCAAACTTAATATAAAAAGTTATGTCATTATCAGTGTTCTGCTAAGGTTTCAGATCCACAAAATACGCGGATTTAAGGTTGATCCACGCATGTAGGTTGACCCGCCTCAGGTATAATAAGAATAATCTGTCTCTGAACCTACCTGAGATATGAAGGGTGACCCGCCTCAAGTATAATAGGAATAATCTGTCTAAGAACCTACCTGAGATATGTAGGGTGACCCACCTCAAGTATAATAGGAATAAATTGTCTCTGAACCTACCTGAGATATGAAGGCTGACCTGCCTCAAGTATAATAGGAATAGGTCTCTGAATCTACCTGAGATATGAAGGCTGAACCGCCTCTAGTAGAATAGGAATAACCTGTCTAAGAACCTACCGGAGGTATGTAGGCTGACCAGCCTCAAGTAGAATAGGAATAATCTGTCTCTGAACCTACCTGAGATATGTAAGCTGACCCGCCTCATGCAGAATAGAAATAGGTCTCTGAACCTACCTGAGATATGAAGGCTGACCCGCCTCAAGTAAAATAGAAATAGGTCTCTGAACCTACCTGAGGTATGAAGGCTGACCCGCCTCAAGTAGAATAGAAATAGGTCACTGAACCTACCTGAGATATGTAAGCTGACCCGCCTCAAGTAGAATAGGAAAAATCTGTCTCTGAACCAAGTTTACCTGAGATAAGAAGGCTGACCCGCCTAAAGTTAAATAGAAATAGGTCTCTGAACCTACCTGAGATATGAAGGCTGACCCACCTCAAGTAAAATAGAAATAGGTCTCTGAACCTACCTAAGATATGAAGGCTGACCAGCCTCAAGGAGAATAGGAATAATCTGTCTCTGAACTGGGAAGAAATATTTTATTCCTCGTTTCTTCAGTTTCTCCTTTAAGGACACATCCAGGTCCTGTAGAAATAATATACTATTAAAGTGAGTGTTCACGAATAAATAGGGGTGTACCTTAAGTTACCACAGCAATATTAAGTTAGCCTCATAAATTCTATCCGATTTTTGTTTTTCACGATAAACTTTTTAAAAACTCGTATGTAGTGTAAAGACTTTAAATTTGACTAGAGAATTGAAACTGAATCATGAATAATATTATTATTCAAATCTATTTATTGATCAAAATGTATAATGAACATATAAGAGTAATCTATATATGTTTATATAATATATACAGGGTGTCTCTGAAAAAAGTGTATTTAGGCTTTTTAGTCATGGCTTTATGTTAAAAGTTCTAGTAGATACAATACCCACCAAGGGGGGGGGGGGGGAGTCATGGATAAAAAAATTTTCTCTAACATGCCGTTTTACCCTTCAAAATTAGGCATAATATTCTAAAATGTGCTCGGTCCCCTATCCGAAGATATTATTTGCGTTTTCACCCAATACACGTCGTTTTATTCTTCTATAATGTGTGACCAAAATGTTTTCAAAATGTTCAATTCTAATATTGAAAATGTGAAACTTATTCTATTTTGTTGAATAAAACGTAAAAAAAATTATAATTTTAATTTTAAAAAAATCTTTTAAAAGGAGAACGAGCACATTTTCGCATATTATTGCCACGTTAGAAGGTTAAAACGGCATTTTAGAGAGAAATATTTCATAGACGACTTTCCCAGTAGTGGGTATTGTACATGCTATAGAAGCACTTTTCAGTACTTTTTAAGGATATTTAGAAGCTAAAAAGCCTAAACACACTTTACTCAGAGACACCCTGTATATATGTTTTGCATACGCTCCGATCATGAAAAATGAATATTACTTTATAAGTTTTCATAAAGATTACCAACCACGAATAAACAACTCTTCAGAGTTATTAATTTCAATTTAAAAAAAAATTCTAATACACATCTCCAGATTGTACTCATATAGCTGTATTTTCTAAGTTGAATTAAAATTATTTTTTCTAAAAACCAATTCGCAAACATAAGATAGAATAAACATATGTAAAACAATGTAATATCTTTAATCACATGTAATTACACATAAAAATTATGTCAACGTAAAACTATCTTATTTCAAATAAATGTTTAGATTTTAAAACTTTCAAGTTTCTTTTGATCATAAAATCGGCCGACTCTTTAAAACGCCTATAAACACCCATACTGGAAAGCTTTAAAAAACGAAACTAAAATCTGTTTTTCACAAAAAAGTTCAAAATTTGCAAAATCGTTACAAAATCATCATAAAAAAACATTAAGCGGCTAAACCAATTTTACCCGAGCTGGAAACTTTTGAATTGGATATCTTCATCCCTATCGGTTAATTAACAACAAGAGAACAACAAGAATTATTTAGTCTTGAGATTAAGAAAAAGAGGAGATCAAGCATTGATCTCAATATCCACCATTCTGAAGTTTTCAGCTCAATTCATTCTTCTTAAGAAGCATTGGAAACCTATAAAACATCTTGGATCATTATTCTTTTTTTTCTATCTTCCTTATCAGCCATTCCAATTTTTACTTTAATTTTATAAGAATGACTTGAACTGATTGGTATTCATATTTAAGGCTCTTTTTGTAAAATTAATTTAGTTTTATGTTATTTTTCATCCAACCATTGTTTCTACGTATACCATAAAGCTATTTCGCGCGCATTTTCCTATTTTCTTTGGAGGATTTGCTAGTGTTCTACCTTCATATCGTCGACAGCTAACTGTTCAGAGTTCAGATCAACTTCTGCAATATCAGGGTTAGCCAACCAATAGGGGAGTACACGACTAACCTAAAATATCAGGGTTAGCCAACCAATAGATGAGTACACGACTAACCTAAAATATCAGGATTAGCCAACCAATAGAGAAGTGCACGACTAACCTAAAATATCAGGGTCAGTCAACCAATAGGGGAGTACACGACTAACCTAAAATAACAGGGTCAGCCAACCAATAGGGGAGTACACGACTAACCTAAAATATCAGGATTAGCCAACCAATAGGGGAGTACACGACTAACCTAAAATATCAGGGTTAGCAAACCAATAAAGGAGTACACAGCTAACCTAAAATATTAAAATTAATCATCCAATAAAAGACCAAATAAATCATTAAGTGCATAACATAATAAAAAGGATTAAAACTACTAGTTGAAGGTCAGTAGGCGAGGGGGGGTGATTTTTCCTGAAAATATAAACCCCTGACCGACCTACCTTCTTCTTCTTTGTTGATAATTCCTCACCAAGAACAGTAAACCCTGTGTCTACAACAGTTTCCCCCTTCTTTTCCTTCTCCTTCTTCTTTCTTTTCTTCTTATTTGGTTCAGCAGCATCTACATCTTCTTTCTAAACAAAATACAATTTGTGTCAATTACGATTAGTAATGGTAATAGGTGTTAAATTTTATAATATGAAAGATTCGAGCATTTAACCCATGAGTATGAGTATGAGAATGAGATCTGTAAGAAACCCCATGTTGAGCAACCCAGACTGCCAACAGTAGTATCTGACCCTACAGGTGAGAATAGTACTGATCCAGCCCGGCCTCCATTCCATGGAGAGGTACAACCTGGAGGTATAGCGTGATCAAAGTCACGAAGCGTACACTGCCACAGCCCATCATTTGATACACCCATTGTTACCTGCAATAGTTTAGCCATCCTGGAGATCTGTATTATCACCTGTTGAAGTAGATATGTTATCCGTTTCCATTCCTTAAGTATGGAAATAATCCAAACTCCTCGTTCTGTCATGACATTTACATCAGATCTGTCGCCCCCCAGGAATTCCTTCATTATCTGCTCCTTTGACATCATAGGTGATCTTGCGTCTTGGAAAGATTGTACTCCTGTGGAGAACCTGGCGAAGCTTGTGCTTGGGCAGTCCAATAGTACATGTTGTTCATCAAGTTTAGCAATGACACCCAGGGTATAACACCAAGGGCACTGCTTGTACGTGTGACCCACATGATTAGGACGCCTGTTCCCTAGCCCAGCATCTCCTGCTTTGAACTGGTTTAAGGCAGCACACTCTTTGGAGTCATTTACTTGAGGATTAGGTTTGAACCAATTGCTTGGTTCTGATAACCATTTCAGTGAAGTGTGTGACTGCTTAGTCATCTGGAGCAGAATCCGTTTTTTCAGGAAAGCCTTAGAGATCTGGGTAAGATCTGGGGTACCCAGCTCAATGAGTAAGGACTTAATACGTTTAGTCCATTGGTCGGTCATATCCGACTGTGTAGTCTGTGCTACTGTTTTTAGAAGGATGTCATTTTCCTTTGATAAGAGACGGTGAGCAAACAATAGTGCTCTTTCGTCCAGACGCATCTGGATGGGTTTCAGCCCCGCCTCCAACCATCCCATAACCTGAGATGAGGATTGGGGAAGCTGTAGGATGAAGGAAGCCACGGAGTGTTGGATTTTCTCCAATTCCCTAACTGTAGACTTGGAAATGACCATGGCTTCTGTTCCATACAGGAACTGGGGAATTGCGCAACACTCCCACAGTTTATATGCAGTAAGGGACCTATCCAGGCCCCAACAGGTGCATCCCATGATAGTATGAGCGTAAGCGCGGGCAGACCCAATCATAATGGACTCTCTAGGTTTAATTAGATTCCGTCCTTGGACACTAATGTCAACACCAAGGTATTTTGCTACCAGAGCAGCCTCTAGGTCTGGGCCTGAGTCACTGACCCTCCAACTATTCTGGTTAGTACCATAGGAGAGAATCACGGTTTTCTCCACCGCAAGCTTCATGTCCATTTCAGTACAAAATTTTTGTACAGCTCTAAGGAGTCTATTCATTCCTCTTCTTTTGGTCCTTGAGATAAGAACAAGATCATCAGCAAAAAAGAGGGCAGAAATAGTCATACCACTAAATTGAACACCCTCTTTCATAGAGTGTAAAACTTTACCTAGACCTGAAACATAGAGAGAAAACAACAACGGAGACAAAACGCATCCTTGCTTAACACCTCTCGTGAACCACAGAGGATTTGACAAACCTCCGCATAATGTAACTCTCACATTGTCATTGTAATACATTGATTGTATAATCGGCTTAACCTTTCCCCCAAACCCCAGGGAATCAAGTTTTAGGTAGAGAAGTTCTCGATTTACAGAGTCGTACTCTTTAGCAATGTCGCAAAAAGCTAGGGAAACAGTGTGGTTTCGTTTTTTTGCACGCCTGATTGCAGCCAGGAGAATGAATACACAGTCTGAGGTTGACCTTCCCTTCCTGAACCCGAATTGGGTAGTCCCGTAAAATCCTTCCGTCTCACAAATTTTGTCCATGCGAGAATGAATTATTTTGGTGACTAAGTTCAGGATCACGCTGGATACCATTAGCATATCAACTAATTAAAAACTTTAATTTTGGCAAGATTTTTTCTTTTATTATGCGTTTGTTCAAGTTGTATGATAAATACAGTATTACATATAGCTTTCCGCACATAAAATATTGAAAAAATCTGCCAATTTTGAGTGCGAATCTACCATTTAATTTAGGAAATTTACTGACAACTTTACCGATTTTAGTGTTGAATTTAGGTATTTGACATTAAGAAAGTGGTTTAACAGTAAGTATCAAATGGCATGTTAAAAAAGAAGAAATGCAAATACAGCGGCAGGGAACTATAAAAATTGTCAGAAAAATGTGCAACATACCATTCTAAACTGTACTGCACCATTCTAAACCGTGCTGCTTTAATCTAAACCGTACTGCACCTTGCTAAACTGTACTGTATGTATCATTCTAAACCTTTAGAGTTCTAAACCAAACTGTACAGTTCTAAAATGTACTTAAACCTCACTAACTGTACTGTTAGGTTCTACAAAGTACTGCGTCTTAATTTAATAATCTTGATATACCTTCTCTTCCTCTGGTTTTCCTTCTGACTCGGCAAGCTTTCGTTTCTTGGCCAACTTCTTCTTCAATTTTTTCAAGATCTAAAAAGTGTTTCCATTAAATTAATCATATTTCATACAAAAATATAGTTTTCTTCAGATGTGCAGCACAGCACATTTTTGGAATTCAAATGGCAAGGTTTAACTTTTTCCCTTTACTCTCAAAAATTCCTTTTACACAAAATTTTCAGGTCTAAATTGAAATAAGAACATCAGAGTTCCGCCAGGTCCCATGTAAAGATATAAATTCCAGGTTTTACCAAACTTTCTGCTGATTCAATCTTGATAAAACGTTGTTAGAGGAATAAAATTATTTAAAAACGGTTTTAGAAGTTCTTATTTTTATTGGTTATTCCAAACAGTGCTTTGTATCCGGGTTCGTAAAAATATGCGGATCCAATTGCAAAAATATCAACTAGAGTGATAACCAGAAAACTCTAAAAAGGAAAACTATTTTAGAATCAAGTTATGACATTAAAAAGTCCAATGCAATTGTGCAGTGTAACCAGACCTATTTCACAAACTTAGCGTTTCCAAAGCACCGATTTAATTAGTTTGTGGTATTTTTTCTTGCTGATAATCAAATACATTTAAGAATTGATACAATGTCGTCTTCCTATTCCATTACTTTCTGGTTCCCCACTGTAGTAGATCTCAAACTTGCACATTTCAAGTGCCAGATCATTTAAATCTTCCGAAACATTAAATGGTGAATCGAGTTTAAACATGACAAAAAATTACAGATCCGGAGCTATATCAACAGGATCCGGAACTATATCAACAGGATCCGGAACTATATCAACAGGATCCAAATCAAAATGGATCCTAAGCGCTGGCCAAAATAATATTTTTCCCACCTTTTCTTCATTATCTTTCTGTCTGATGTACTCATCAGGATCAAACCTTTCCACCACAAAGTTCTCCACTGCCATTCTTTAACAATTAATCAATCAATCTGAAACATTGAAAATCTTTTTCCTCTTTCTTCAACACTTACTTTTTTGTAACAAGAGAAGGAGACGATGGACTTGAATGTTTAGAATACATAGAAAATTCTAATCGAATTTATACATGGTCGTTTTAGTTGTCTTTCAAAACCTTTCAAATTGGGAAATTTGAAAGATAATTTTCAGAGATTTCAACGATATTAACGTTAAGAACAATCATAGATAATTTAATTTACGTTTTTAGAGGTCTTTTAACAGTGCCAGACCCATAGGACATAAAAAATGGTATAAAAGTTTAGGAGTATTTATCCAAACGTCACGCCTGGGACATTTTAACAGTTAAATATATAGGTGACCCTCAAATATAACCATTTTGTCAAGGGTTTCCAGTATCAAATCTTACTCTCCAGATGAGCGGGGGGAGGTAATGTCCTCGAGAGAGTGGGGGGTAAATTCCCCCCTCCCCGAAAGTAGGGGTGTTGAGGGATTACCACTCAGCTTCTCCATGTGCTCTGGAGAACACATAATCCTTCCCGTTAAGGTTCATGATGCCATCCTTCAGATTGAATTTCCACTTATTCCTAAGAAGTAAAAATTATGAAAATCTAAAAAATTAGAGGTCGTAAAGTTTGGAGTTGTTACGCACTTTATGAGCGCAAAACCGAATCTTTATAAAGCTGTTATGGCCGGAAAGAGCATCGAAAAAATATTTCAGCTATTTTGTACGGAAAAGGTACTTTAACATTTTACATAAGGAATCATAAAAAGTTAAATTCATATGATTTGAAAACTAATTAAAAACATATTTTAACATATTAAAATAATCATCACATGTTGTTTCATCAAATCAAATCACTTGATTGATATGTTGAAAGTTTTACTGGATTGATTTATGAACTGATTGATAAAAGATGAACGACTTATTTCTCAATTATTTTTTTATCAAAAACTTGATTGATTAATTGATTTTCTAATTGATTCAGATTAAATTTTCTATGGAAAATTAAATACTAGATTGACTGATTAATCAATCGATAAAAATTGTTTGATTGATTTCTTATTTACTTGATGATTTAATTACTTGAATGATTGATTGATTAATTCAATCATTGATTACTTTATTACGTCATTACTTGATTAATTAATAAATTGATTGATTGATAAGTTGATTGATTTGTCGTTTACCTGGTCCTTGAGATTTTATCATACTGACACACCACCACGTTATCCGTCTCAAATATCTCTGTTGCGTCTTCGTCGGAGATATCATCCTCACTGCCCAGAGGCTCCTCCTCTGCACCCTCATCATCATCCTCACCATCAGGATCCAGATCATCATCGTCGTCGTCATCATCATCATCTTCATCCTCGTCATTATCCTCTTCATCCTTCTCATCGTCGTCACTAGAATCTGCTGGTCCATCAACCTGAAAACGAGAAAAAAATGACAGAGGTTTCCATATACACAGTTGTTATCTCTGTTAGTTTGTATGTCCAATCATAACTCAGAATCCCTTGACCGGTTTGCCTCAAATTTTAATTGAGAAACTCGAGAGAACCATGGGAATAGTATTTGTTTGATTTGCCTTAAATTCGATAGGGGACTACAAAACATAGATTAAAAAAAAAAAGATTGAATCATTAGCAAAATTGTACAAGGCTAATTTTAATGCAAAAATTCGTAAGGTTCTATTAGTAATTTGTGTGTATTTTAACGTTAAAGCTTGGAGATCTGCATATATTTTTGGGTTGGCTGTGCCCAATAAATGTCAAATCGGAGGAACCAATCAGGCTCTAATTATCTGAAGGACTTCATAACACCCATGGGTAGGTTAATATCCGATTGAAAGAAATCAAATTTGCCTCTTAAAAAATTTATCTTAAAATGTGAAATTAAAGTTTACTAAGAAAACAGTAAAATATATTTTTAGGTTGTATTAAGAAATTTGGTGGCATGGAAAGCATAATTGTAAAGCTAGTTAAATTGCCATAAAAGGGGGCGCGGCCTACAATAGATAAATAGAATTATTTAAGACACCAAACCTGCTGCATCATCTTCATAGACAACAATTTCCGTTCTATTCCTTTAAACTTCAATTTGGACAGCTTTACAACAGGCTGGAGAGAATATTCTGGAATACAAATAATTTTGAAATATATAAAATAAATACATGTGTTACAACCCCCCCCCCCCCAACTTTATTCTCAAACGTGCTAGTTAATAATTAGGATAGGAAGTTGTACCGGAGCGCAAAATAATGTTTACATCAGGGGGAAGAAATAGTTTAAAAAAGAGAAATGTATACTGTATAGCCTGAATTTGAAACAAAAAGGAAAAAAGTTTTAATTTTGCATTTTAATAAAATATTCCGAACGTTGATTACCCCCCTTCTCTTTTTCCCTCATAAATTATTGTTTTAATATTAAAATACTCACTGGAGAACTCCTGAATGGAATCCATTGAGAGTGAAACCTTCTTGTTCTTCTTCTTCCGACTACGCAGTACCATTCCCTCACCCTGCATCAAGATGAATGTATTAATAAACTTTTGCACTTTCCAGTCAGGATGGTTATAAGAGAATAAAATGCATGCGGGTATGTTTCATAAAAAAGTAAAAATCATTATAACCACCATCTAAAAAAAAAGATCACCCGGTGTCAGCTATGTTTCTTTTGTTTAAGCAGCATCTTTTAGGCCTTTATTTCCTTAATTTAAGAGTGAACGTAAAAAAATTGCCGGTTTCTGTACCCCCCCCCCCCCATTCACCACTAATGCAATCCTGTCTTAGTAGTCTGTGTCCTGTTTACCGGAGTTTCTACGCTGGTTGGTTCGGTCAGTTTGGACTTCTCCGGGTTCAAGACTAGCTGTAAACCTGCTCCAGTTAGCTCCAGGTCTACTTCGTCATCTAGCGCCTGCTCAGAAACCGGGTTTTCACATTTCCCGGATTTCTTTGTGTTCCTCTTTGCTTTGACAATATTTCGCGGGACGGGCTGAGAGATTTGGCGGGGGTTAGACTTTGCCACGGTGGCATCAGCGTCAATTGCTTGTATCTTCGTAATCCAGAGGGCTTCAAGCTTCTTCAAAATCTGAAATATAAAGTTAGAAGCTTCTTTAAGTAGTTCTGCCATTGGATATAAAATATCAAGGTTGAAAGGGAAAGTGAGTGTAATTTCAAGTGACCCTCCATGAAAAGATGAAAATGCCCGATTTACAAAGGTACCCTTAAAAGCTTTTTCTGATCTAGTTTGAATTAGAGATTAGTTTTTGTTTGTTTTAACTGTTTAATTGCGTTTCCTTTTTCTCTGCGAAACTGGTTTGCACATTCCTTTTTAAAAGAAGGAAGGGTAAAACTATGCACAGAAATAAACACTTTAAGAGTTAAAAGTTTTTTAATCAGTTTTCAGGGGTACCGTTGTAAATCAGGCATTGCTATCTGCGCATAGCCGGAGGGTTATATAAAATAACCCCTACACTCAGCTAGATTCTCTTTAACATTTTGGTACATGATTTGGTTACACAGAGAGGATGAGAGTTTAAGTTCGGGTATATATTTTAAAGAATTACCCCCCCCCCCTCCCTCTCGAGTTGATTGAAATGACTTTTGATGCATCGGGAAAATATGGGGAAATCAATTTGTTCGCCCTTTTTGATGTTTTTGCCCAAAATTCCTGTTATTTTTACAAATCAGCAAATGAACCCCCCAAACAACATCCTGCACATTCGGGGGAAAATTATTTTAAAAAAGGGGAGTTGTTTTACTAAACCCAAGTTTCATCCTTAGTGGAGGGATGCCCAGTAAGATAAAAATTTACCGAAATGTCCACACCCTCCTCTAGAAAGCTCTGAGTGACCCCGGCAATAACTTCTTTTACAATCATATCATCATGATCAGTGGCAGCTGCATCTTCATGATCATTCCCATCTTCCTTGTAAATAAACAAAATGTAAACAATCGTTTAAAATAATTTGATTTAATTTGTTCAAAAATTCAACTATTGAGTAGTATTGCTCAATAAACTTTTAATTAGTTAGAAGGGTGAAACCCCCTAAAAAAAGATAGGAAATGCAGGTTGCATTTCACTTATAATCTATTTTCTGCTCATAAACTGGGTGCGTAGACGGAGAGGTGGATCTTGACACAATTTTTTCCTTTTAAAGCTTAGTCCTATACATTAACAAGTTTGCCTAAACTTATCTAAATCAAGTGAACCAGGGGCTCAAAGGGGGGGGGGGGGGGGCTCAGCACCCGCTGGAGCCTGAAAAATCCCCTGAAATAATCAAATTTCACTGGTCCCGGGGGGAGGGCTTAGCCATAGCCCCCCCGCCTGAATATGCCCCTGAAGTGAACATTTCTGCATTCTTTTAGAATCTTTTTCATTTGAAGTGGGGCTCTTACGGAACTTTTTACCTATGATCAAAATCCAAATCATACCAGTTTTTTTAAAATTTAATTTTATATTAATTTTGTTATTGAAAATAACTTAGCAAACGAGCTGTGTCACAATTAAAAAGGTTTACTAGAAAAGATTCTAAACACTTTGCACCAAGTTTTATTCTTTCGTTTAATTTAGTTGGTAAAAATTAAACTTAAGGTACCTTCACATGTGAGTCTGTTAAACTGTTGACAGTGGCAGACCCTAAAACACACAAAAATTATAAATTCTTTTCATCAATCAACAGAAAATTAATTACAGTAATAAGAGAGTAATGAGATGAGCTCTGCAAGAAGCCCCATCTTGACAGTAACTTATTTATTTATTTAACTGGATGATTTAAAATTTTTGGGAAATCTACCAATTAAAAGAAAAATCTTCCAAATTGAGGGGTAACCCTGCCAATATGGCTCTATACCTGAAACTTTTAAGTAAGGGACTGTAAGCATAATTTCAAATGACCCTCCATGCAATACCCGATTTACACCGGTACCCATAATAGCTTTGTCTGATAAATAATTAGATATCCATGTTTTTTTTCTTTTAAATGTTTATTTTCATTTGCAGCTTCTCTGCGCGAGTGACTTGTTCCGCATTTCTTGCTTTCAAGAAGCACCGACGAATCTTACAGAAATAACCACTTTTTGAGTCAGAAAAGCGACATTATCTTCCACATTTTCGATCAGATTATGATTTCAATCGTACCGTTGTAAATCGGGAATTGTCTTACAATACCTTTAAGGAGGAGAAACATTTATTTTTATTTTTAATGTACTCGTATATGGCGTGTATGTTAGAAAATGCCAGCTTTACCTGGAGAAGCAGTTTGATCTTTATCCATATTTGTAGTTGTTGTCCGAATCAATCCCCTCAAATAATTTCTTCCTTTATTATCTGAATTAGATCATTTTTAAATCAGTTTTTTCTTAATTGCAAAAATATCGTATAAAAAATATTAATACAAATTTTTACAAAGAATTTTTACACTTTTAAGATGTTAGAGCTCACAATAATTACATTCTAGCATACAGAGCTATATATAATATATATAAGTAAATCTTTTAAACAAGGTATATATCTGTACAGTGTACATGTTTAAATTATGTTTATACAAAAAAAATGTGGTATCTCATATGATTCCAGGAGAAGTTAATAGATAGTCGAAGTTAAAAATTTATCTAGACAAAAACTCAAATTAAAACTAAAAAATCCTGTAAAATGTTTAGTATTACGATGTTTAAAGAAAAAAAAAAGCTAGCTTGATAAGCAACATTTAAACTCTCCACTTCATATCACACATTGTCCCAATTATAGTCGCTCCTCACAAAGGGACTGATATAAAATAATTCTTTAAAAAAGATAACTTTTGACAAATCTATACCACTACTTAATGATTAATGTATCAAAAATTTATCAATTTATTGGGTCTGTCTTAGAGAACATTTTTTTTAAATTGAAGGAATGTGTCGGTAAAAAAAAACTTTTGCAGGGTAGAGTTTCAGATTTAAGCGTATTGCTTATTTAATCACAGTAAAATCAAATCATGTATCATACAAAAATTTGACTGATTCACTTTGTACAAAATAGAAATATTAAAAGTGTAATCCCATTCACTTCTGATGCAAACAAAATATATCAAAATCCATCAGGTCACCAATTGAATGCATCTAACCTCTAAAAGTCCAGCATTCCAACATTCATCAAATATAACATGTTCTGCATCAATTCAAGTTAACAAACTAAATGCATCGGTTAACCACAAAAATGCATCAAACGTCCAACATGACTAAATGAAACAGAGTTGTGATAAGAATAATCATTGTTATAGAAACCCAGTCTAAGAGAATACAACTCGTCAGGACACAGAATACCAGAGCAATAATCAGCTCGCTCTTCAATCCCCCATTTTCGATCACTGACCGATCCTTGATCGGCTGCTCAAGATCGATGGGAAGCTCAGGTTCAGCTGCCGGAAAAGGAATCTGATCCAGCATCCGCTCTAGGAAAAGAAGACGTTCTTTAACTGGTTCAGAGCATTGGGGACACCTTTGAATCCTGAGTTTACAATCACCACAGATCATATGCCCGTTCACACATTGATAGATCGGCGGTTCGATCGGGACCTCGTAGCAGACCGGACATTCCAGAAAACGATTGATATCGTCAACTTTGTCCAAATAAGAGAACCTCATTTTAAGCCTTTTAAGCGAGTTATTTAAATCTGACAACCATTGTTATACATTCTAAAAATTTGCAATAATGGTCAAACATTCGGCTTAATATTTTATTTAAATCAAAACTGATTGATAAACGTCTTTACTGTATAAAAAAGAAATAAGACAGTTGATGTTTTCTTTTTTCTGATGCGCACTCATGGTAATCTGAGAAATAACTTGCGGCATAGGCGAACAATATAAAAAATACGACGACATTTATGAAAATCAACCTCCCATGTTTGGACTTCAGCCCCAGCCAATCCCTTTGACTGCGGCTGGGTGGATGAGGGGACGAAGGCCAACCACATCAATCTCTAGTCCGAATCACATTCTCATCATTTTCTTGTCCGAACCACATCGAAACCCTCGTCCTTTCAATATTATTTTTTTTAAGTGTCCGATCCTTGAAAATAAATACATTTTTTAAAAATATGGCGACGTTAGGGCATAGATGAAATATCAAATTTTCCCAATTAAATTTTAGATTTGTGTAAAAATAAAAATGCTCCAAAAACGATGTTCTACAAAAAAGCGTCCGTATCTAGGGCCCTTTCTTTCGCAGAAAATGTAAAACATTCTCAAACTCGATGTAAACAACTTTTTGTAATATTTCAGCTGAATTTGGGTTAGAGATATGACTTACAATTTTTATATGATTAAATACTGTTTGAATTCATAGGGTTGTGACCAATTAATTGTAGCAAATGATTTGAATAATATAAATTGAACATTATTTTTTCTGGAATTTTAAGCATGCGGCTGCAGGCAGTAGTGATCTCTTAGTGGGGACAACAAATCTACCTTATTTGTAAATAAATCAGAAATCAATGATTTTTTTGTATGGGTTGAAATGGAAAGATTAAAGACCAAGTTCACGCAAATTCTTTGGTATAAATTTTTATTTGTGAAAGTTATCCATTTTGGAGGCAGAAGAGATTCAATTTTGAACCTAAATATTGTTTGATATCATTCTCGTGAATTTGAAGATTCCAACATCTCAAAATCCTTGGAAAACTTTATTATAGTCATGTTCTATGCCCTAACGTCACCATATTTTAAAAAAATGTATTTATTTTCAAGGATCGGACACTTAAAAAAAATAATATTGAAAGGACGAGGATTTCGATGTGGTTCGGACGAGAAAATGATGAGAATGTGGTTTGGACTAGAGATTGATGTGGTTGGCCTTCCTCCCCTCGGTGGATTCTCATTTGAACCTCTGCCGTTTGAACTATGGTACGTTTGAACTATTGTTCGTTTGAACTATTGTTCATTTGAACTACTGACATGACGTCATATCCTGTAGTTTAAATCAACACATTTCTTGCTCATTTGTACTATTTTTCTACCCCAATTCAGTTTCAATTTTTTTTATAATTCCCATAAAGTTAGTTCATGACAATTAATTAGATAACCACATTATACAGAAATGTTATAGTTCAAATGAACATAAAAATAGTTCAAATGAACATAAAAATAGTTCAAATGAACATAAAAATAGTTCAAATGAACTTAAAAATAGTTCAAATGAAAAAAATAGCTCAAATGAACATAAAAATAGTTCAAATGTATAGTTCAAATGAAAAAAAAAATAGTTCAAATGAACATAAAAATAGTTCAAATAAAATATAGTTCAAATGAAAAAAATTGAAATGAACTAAAATATAGTTTTAAATGAAAAAAAATAGTTCAAATGAAATAGTTCAAATGAAAAAAAAATTGAAATAAATTAAAATATAGTTTTAAATGAAAAATAAATAGTTCAAATGAAAAATAAACAAACAAAAATTTCAAATAAAATTGTTAAAAAACATATAAATAGTTCAAATCAAATGTAATTTACTCCAACTCCTGACGTGATTTTACCCTGCCCCTTTATCTGTCACCTCACCTCCCACAGGCCTATGTTTATGACCAATTATTTTTCATTTTTTCAGCAAAATATTAGTATTTATTTTTTTATTATATTAGGTTAGGTTAGGTTAAGACAATTTCTGGGCCGAGCACCCTGCAAGCCAGAGACGTCACTGGCTGAATCGCTTATGTTAAATTACATCACTTTGACATCATTTGACATAACTTTTTTGAATAGTTTTTTACATTTTTTAACGTTTTTTTTTTTGTTTGTTTAAGCCCTAGAAACCACCCTAGAAACCATTTTACGTGACTAATGTTAAATCATTTCGTAATTCAACGTTACGGACCGTACCAACAATTCTAACGTTACAGAACGTTGAATAATGTAAATGTTATCTATATAACATAAGCTTACGTACCTTTACGAAGGTTGGTAACATTAGTTTTAGGTTTATATTGAACTTTAAATTTACGTAATATATTAATCTAAATTTACGTTACATAACGTAAGATATAACGTCAGCTTAAGGTTTTCTTTAACGTAATTGGAGTTCGTAAATAAACGTTAATTTACGAAATATCTTACTTCGTTGTAAGGTTTAAAGTTTTATGTTTGATATCCATGCATCGATATACATAACAAAATTTTTTCAAATTTTGCAACTTAATCCATATCAATGCCAAACTAGCTATTCATATAAATTGCCCTTAACATTCCAAAAAATGTTTTGTGCATACCATTTCATGTAAATAGTTTAATTTAGCAGCATTATAGGATATTTGAATCAGCCCCCCCCCCNAGAAGAACAAAAAAACGAAGTTTTTTATTTTATGCGTCATTATGTTTGTTAAATTTCAAACAAATGTCACATGGGATAATTGAACAAGTATAATCAACGATAAACGAAAGCTGGAAGCCATAATTTAACAGAAATAATTAACCATCACTGAATTTGGTGTTCTCAACATAGTGTTCTCTATAGAACAATTAGGCAAGTACAAAGTATTTTTTACATCACAAGTTTAGTACAAAGTGTTTCCTACAGATTAATAGGTAAGTACTATAGTGCTCTACAAAACAATAGGTAAGAACATATGTGTTCTCATCAGAACATTAGGTAAGTACTTATGTGTTTGGTTTTGTTCTTTGGTACGTCAAATAATGTTATTCAACGTAACTTTGGTGAAAAATGAGCATATATTTTGGATTGATAAAAATCAAATTTTGGTTTCTTGAAAACATACTGTCATTGTTACGTTAAATAACATTACTCAACCTAACTTTTGTGAAAGCTGCTTCCATATTTAGGGTTCATTAATGTATAGTTTGGTTCATGCACGGAACCATACTTTGTATTATGTTAATTAACGTTACTTAACGTAACTTCCGTGAAAACTGTACCCATATTTGGGGTTTCTTTTGTGAAAGCTGCTTCCATGTTAAGGGTTCATTGATGTAAAAGTTAGGTTTATGTACGCAACTATACGTGCATTGTTACGTTAAATAAGGTTACTTAACGTAACTTCCGTGGAAACTGTGCCCATATTTGGGGTTTCTGAATGTAAAAGTTGGGTTCATGAACGTCAGGTAACGTTAAATTTAACGTTTCATGATGTAACCTTTTTTACGTTACATAATGTAAAAGTGGGTACGTTTTTACGTTCCTGGAACGTTAAATAGTGACGTTAATTAACGTTAATGAGTCCTAAAAGGAACGTTATCTAACGTTCTGAGAACGTTATTTGTCTTGTTGGGCAGAGGAGGTCCTAAGGTCATCATGGGGATGTCAATAATTACCTGTGCCAGGTCTGACGACGTCATATTTTAGGTGTTGAGGACGTGTTG